CTTTTCTTTCTAAACGGGTTATTTAACATTGCTGGCAGACAGTCTGATTCGACTTTGTTCATCTGCACATCTTCTCAATGACGTTTTGCTATGGCCTCATGGGAAGAATGCACCGAATCACCCTATCACTAAGGAGTGCAGACTCCTCCTGTTTTTGATGTAGTGCCACCAGAGTGGTGAGCCCGTGGTGCCTGTGTCCCCTGTAGAACGAAGCATACACTTACCCCACGAGGTTTTCTTACAAGCTGCCGAGAGTGGTGAGAGGCTTAGTGCAAAGAGACCTTTTGAAGGTCCTTTATCTCAGTTCCTGTAGTGTTCTTTCCCCAATAGAGAGATGTATGAGCAAGTTTATCTGGAAAAGCCTTACCTTTCTGAAGCTTAATACAGAAGAGAAAACCCCTCCACAATTAATAGGTGTCAGATTACTTTCACCAAGTGAGACAATAGATCGCCATTTACAGAGTTTTGTGTTTGTTTGTTTTTTTAACAAAGCTTCCATTTCAGTCCTCTAAACCAATACATATGACTGCGTTGTTGGTAAATTTCCAGGAATCTTTCTCAATTACAGTGCGGTTTTTCCCCATGACAGCCCAGCAACGAAAGTTCCTGCCCCTGTGTAACAAATTTTCATACCTAAGGAAGCGTCCCTCAAGATAACACAGGCATACGTGTACTCCTGCTGAAAGTTTTCATTTTTATTTCTTCTGAGGAGGCAAGAGCTAGACTCACAGTCGAGCCCGGACTGACACAGTGCTTGAGATGAGCATACATCACAGTGTTAAACCATTTTTGTTACTTTGTCATTCCAAAAGCGTCAGTATTAATGGACACTCTGGGTCATGTGAAAAGGAAGTGAAAATAGCACAGAGTATTGACCAGATACGAGAAAGATGTGTGTATCATGCACTTTTTGAAAATTTGTTGATAGTTAAGGAGCTGTTCAGTTCAGGTCAACAAATATGCATCGACTATTTACACCTCTGAGCACAAGTGTGTGCTGTGGCTGCTGCCCTTTGACCTCTTTAAACAGACAGGTCCTGCAGCCACTTGCTCAGCGCTTCCCCTTTACTCTCTGTTCTAGAGCAGGGGCAGCCAACGGAGGATGTGTGAAGAGGCAAGAGCCGCAGCGTGCCGCCAGCGAGCTGTTCGGCATGGCTCAGCACCTCCCAGGGTGTGTGCTAAAGACCACCAATAACCCTAAAGATGGCCAGTTAGAGGTTTTCTGCAAAAACAGGGCACAGAGAGTTCTGTGGGAAACTGGGTTAAAGAAAATTAAGCAGACCCTCATCGCCAGGCTTCACAAAATCCTTCAAGTTCAGGTGTGCTTTGTGGGAAACAGCACATACGCTGTTACCTAAACCCCGTTTGCTCGGAAACCCTTCTTCCTCTGAAAGGCACTGACACCTCATGGGGAATGACCATGAGAACAGGCAGGAAAGCTGCACTTTTCTTAGGAAACACGGCACCTTGGAACTCACGCCAAAGTGAGTGACCCCCGAGCAAACAGAAACCAGCCCTCATGAGATGGACCTCCTAAAATACTTGTGTTTTCAGACCCGTCTTCTTTGAGTCAGGAGAGAAGAACCAGTAATACAATTAATGCTTTTCCTTCTGGAATTTTTACTAAGAAGCCCTTTCAGGAGGAAAAAATAAAAACAAAGGGACCTTTGGGAATTGTGCTCTGTCCACTGCTTGTGTATCAGCTGCCTGTGAATTGGGTTTAGAGCTTGAGAGATGACTCAGTGACTAGCCCTCCTGCCGTTACGGCCCACGTGACTTCTGAAAACTATCATTATTTTGTTCTTGTTATTTTTAGTGACATTTTGATAACAGAATTACTCTTTTTAATTCTCCATTTTGTTCTGCAGCCAGCTCGGTGTATTCCCTGGCCCCTTTCTCCCCACCTCGCTCTTTGTTTGCTCACTTTATTCCTCCCAGAATACCTTTTCCTTTCCTACGTGCATATCCAAATTCTGTCCCCACCCCAATCCAGTGTATGGGCACCAATTTCTTCCTCCTCTCCACACCTGCGCATTGTCCTTTTGCCTTGCTAACGGGACCTCTCGCGCCATGCCGCACGGGGCAGTAACTGCTGCCCCCCACTCCGTCCTGGTTTGGGAGCAGCAGAAGGCAGACATGTGTCTTGGATGCCTCTGCCTCCTCTGCCTGGCCTCGCCGAGTAGTTATATAGAGCAGCTGCTCGGTGAATGCAGACTGATGAAAGCAAGTGACTGGTCAGGCACAGTGTTAATAGTGTCCTATTTCCTCTCAGTTACTGCTGTGTGTTGCTAAGCAAATACGACAGGAAAATGAAGGTGGCAGAAAGGGTTGCCTCACTAACTAGCTCTTCGGGGCATCCTTGTAAATAAGGATGACATCTAACGAGGCAAGTTTCAAGTTCAAGCAGTCCTTCCGCATCCTTCGACGTGCAAACAGCTGCAAAGGTAGGAAGTCGCCCTCACCTGAGGCCCTTGAGATCCAGTGTTCAGCTGCTGTTTCCCTGGCATTGCCTCTCAGAGGCTCTCAAGGTCATCTCTGTCTCACCCAAACATTTCTCAAGGCGCTCGTCAGAGCTGCCCAAGTTTGCTGTATCTCACAGCTTTGTACTCCAAGTTGGATGGAATTGTTACTGGAGGGTCAGGCCAGCGCTAAATATAGTAGGGATTACTCACAAATGTGAGCGTGCACTAGCAGCCCCAAGTTACACAGCCGGCTTTCAAGTGGCGGTGACAGCGCTGCCCACATCTCACCACCAGTGCCCCTCTGTCACAGCCATGGAAGCTACCACAGGAGAGCAAAAAGCAATTTATAACTTAGAGAAAAATCTGTAGGTGCAGATCTAAAGGAAGAAAAGTTGACCTGCAAAGAGGAATTGCTCAGAGGAGCTGAGCCCAAGGACAGCCTTCGAGGTCTCAATGACCTGTCACTTCCCACTGCCTACATTTCTCCCCCTGCCACGTTAGTCTACCTGAATTCCAGTGACTCCAGGATAGTCAGTTCTTCTCCCAGTTTGATTACTGTGTATTGAGAGAGGAAGCCTATTAGACTGTTGGTTCACTTTCTCAGATGTGTCAGTGTTATTAGCCACTTACCACTGGTCCTGTGACCCAAATTCCCAGAACTATGAAAGATTCCAGGCAGCCTTACAGTCTCCTTCTTTCCTCAACCCACACCGACCTCCCAAGCCCACCACCCCACCACCATCACCATGTGAAAGCTCATCTGGCCACTCCATTTGCCTGCTCCCATCAGACTTAGCACATACCCCTGGTAGCTGATCCCTGTGTTGTACAAAATCAGGGGGCCCTAGTCACATAGCAGTCAATTAGTGTAGACATTAGTCATTGTCTAGCACACAGGGTAGGTACTCCGTAAATGTCCATAGCACGGTGGCGCTGGGTCCAGCTCTCTCTGAGGTTATGTCTCGCTTATAAAGTGTGCAAGACATGGCATTGGCCCAGGGTGGTGACTGCTTTCTGCACTTAGCCTGGGGAGGGGGCCACGCAATGGAAACCTTCCTGTACTGTCTCAAAGAGAGCTAGAACTCCACCTGCCAGCAGGAAATTTGGCCCCCTCTGCCTCTTCCTCTCTGATTCTTCTTCAGACGTTTCAGTCTTGCACTTCCTTCATCTGTGCAAGAACTGGAAGCGGTGGTTGCTCAGGTGGAGGGAGGTGGGGTGAGGCTCTCTCCACCTGATCCTTCACCTCCCTTCTTGGACGTCCTCAGGGTCCCTCTGGAGCACGGTGGATCCATTGGATCACCAGTATACCACGCTGGGCATTTCACATGCTTTTACTGTGCTTATTATCACATCGTGTTTTCAAAATACCTCGTTTTGCACCTAAGTATGTGATGAAGTTGTTTTACTAATCCCTGAAGTTTTGTCTTTTCCTTCAAGCTGGTAGTCGCTCTTTTCGGAAAAGCGTTAACGTGCCTAACCACGATGGTCACCTTCAGCGCTCATTAATGAAGCAGAACCAGACTTATTGTCGTAATCTGACAAAGCCATCTAAATCTATGCTTTTTTTTTTAATCCCCAAACATGCTGCTAAGTCCCCTAAAAAGCTACTGAACTGCTTTGGCAGCCGTTAGCCCAGCGTTAGCAGAGGGACCCTTTTCAGGAAGTGAGCAAACAGAAAACGTGCGGCATGGCCGGACAGATGGGCTCCGCGATGTGAGGGCGCAGTCCATGTCAATCACTGTTTTCCCGGTCGCCCTGAACATCACAATATCCCTTTTCATCCCACAAGCTCCTTTCACCACAGTAATGCGTCTTTAGAACGACGCTGGCATCAGCCTGCTTCCGCTGTCTGAAGTCCAGAGAGCTTAAAAACACATTTCAGGGTTCAAGACTTGAACCAGCCTCCCTCCCGCTTTCCTACCGCCCACTCTCTCCCTCCCTCCCGCTGCACCCCCCACCCCAGATTCCTACCCATTCTTTCAGCTTTCCTCGCTGAGTAAACAGAATTCACTTCTCTGTTCTAATGCAGCTCTCCAAAGTAAACGGAGACGCCTCCATCTGATATTCCCAAGATTTAAGAACTCATTAAAGAGATGCACATAAAGAAATGCTCTTACATGTCGGTAGTACATCAAAGGTTGAAAGGAATGTGGAAATTCTGTGCTGTGACAAGGTGTGCTGATGAGCACGCCTCTCTCGACCCCCACCCCCCACCCCTTGGTGCTTCCCTGCCCCCACCCCTGGTCCACACTCATCCTTTGTCTTCCTGCATGAGAAGCATGTGCTGGCCCATCCATTCCACCTTCACAGCCGCAAGCCCCTTCAGAGCAAGTGCCATGTCCTATACGTTGCTGTTCCTGGTCCTCGGTACTTAATATAGTGTTTTGGAATGAAGATGATTACTTTTTACCCTTTTGAAGATTTAAGTGGAATACATCTTGAAGGTAAAGTTTAGCAGTGTGCTTACAGTTGTATCATAGAAGTTACCCCAGGTGGATATTTGAAGCACTATGTTGATTGTCTTCTCTCTCCTGTCAGATTATCGCCGTCTGCAGAGAGGCAGCTCTTCAGGCCCTGGAAGAAGACATTCACGCCATCAGCATCATGAGAAGACATTTTACTCGGGCCTTGAGCACCGTGACACCCAGAATTCCTGAATCCTTGCGACGTTTCTATGATGATTATCAAGAGAAGAGTGGGCTTCATACGCTCTGAAAAAAAGATACATATTGATTATGCTACAAGGGCTTTCTAGAGAAAACTCGTTTCGTTTCTTTTAATTTTGTCATGAGGCTGTCAAAAAAGAAATCCTTAAACAAAATGTCTCAAGTATGTTGGCTAGAATTAAGGGGTTTCAGCTCTTGTAAACATTTAAAATCATATGGATACAATGAAAATATCCATGAAGATCTCTGGACAGGAGTTTAAATCAGTTTTGTCTGGAAATGTGTGCTGAGTTTTAAAATGCAAACTTTTGGCATTTTCATTTGGACCTGGTTCATTCATCCCATGAAATGCTTTCTTTGCTCCAGAATTCGTTTCAGTGCATTCCTAAATGCCAAACCTGTGGGCATCAATTTTATATGAGAACATAGAGAATGCGTGGTAAGAACTAGTTACAAAGGTTTATTTTTGAAGGCTCAACGATGAAATGGCCAAATGCACGAGCCAGACTTCTGGGGCCTCTTCCCCAAGTATGTATTTGTTCTCATTATAATTTACACCTACATTTTTGCTTTAGCCTTCTTAACATTTACTTATGGCAACTAAAAAACAAAGAACTAAGAGCTGTTTCATATCTGTCATGCCCTTTCAAAGTTTAAAAAATTGGAAATATAAGCCCAGTCCAGGGTTAGGGCAGTAGGCTTGATTTTTTTTTTTTTACATAAAATGCTAAAATAAATCATATGACGTGGTCATGTTTTAACTTGTACACATTTTCAGGTTACCAATGAACATTTTCAATTAAAAGATAAACCAAATTGTACTCAATCATATTGTCTCATGCTGCATTCTAAATATGTGTATTTATGCCCCTAGTTACTTATCCTTGAGATTTCTTGACACTTTCTCCATAAATATCCTTGAAACGACTGTCGGAAATTGACTCCCCGACTTCCTAGCAATGGAAAGAATGTGCACCTAAACCTGGTCACTGTAGATCTTTGAAAATTACCAGAAAGGTAAGTCAGGCAAGAAATACCTGGTTATCAAAACAATGGGCCTTACAATTTTGCAGTGGCGGATACTCTGAAGACCTGTCTCAACTGTTTCATCCTTTGCCTACTGAAGAAATTAGCAAGGCTTTTTTTCCCAGACTATACTGGTTTATTAGTACATAAAACCACCCAAGGGACAATGAATATTACTACAATTTAGGACTGTGCTGTCAAATACAATAGACAGTAGTCACATGTGACTAACTTTTCATTTTAAGTAATTAAAATTAAGTAATATTAAAAATTTAGTTCTTCAGGGCCGGCCGAGTGGCACGATGGTTAAGAACTCGCTTGGGACGCCAGAGGGCCCCGGTTCGGATCCCACATATGAGGGCCAGTGACACTGCCCTCTACAGCTAAGAT